AATGACTCTTGCATTACTGATGTTTCAATCTCTCTCCTTCTCCCTTCCTCTCTGAAATTAGTAAAAATATATTTTAAAATTTTAAAAAAACACCTGTACATTGGTAAATTTATATAAAAAGTAAAATTGCTTAAAGTAAAAAATTTAGCAGCTCTTCGATGAGTTTTAAATACATCATCAATTCAAAGTTTGTCAATTCAAAGATTGTTACAGCCATGTAAATTGTTTATGTTTAAAATCTATAACAGTGTGGAAGAGGGGTGAGGGCTGAGGGGAGGTGGGCAAAGGTGGGGAAATAGGATTGCCTGTAACATGTGAACAACAAAAATAAAGTTAAAAATGAAATAAAATAAATAAAATCTGTTATCAGTACTATGTCCCAGCTTAGGTGCCTGTGAACTCTGACTTCTCCTGTAAAAAACTCCATTTATATATTTGCATGCCTTGCTGCCCCAGTGATTCTGCTTGTCAGTCCTTTCATCTGTGTTGTCACTGCCTAGAGAGCCATCAGTTTATACAAACCTGCTGCACTAAGCATCTATTACAACAGACCTGCTAGTGACATATTGGTTTTTTAGTTTCAGTTGCCCCCCTGGGATGTTAGAGCAGTTGTATTTTTTGTAAGACTCCAGGGAGTCAGTTTAGAGCAAGCTCACTTCATCTATTCAAACTAATTCAAATAGAGGGATAAATAATCACTAGTGAATGCATCTCCTATTGAAGATGCTATCTAACACCAATCAGCAAATTAAATCATCATAGCTTTACACATATCTAATCTATTTTTTTTAACTTTTATGAGTATACTGTATTTACTAGAGGCCCGGTGTACAAAATCCGTTCACTGGGGAGAGGGGATTGTCCCTCAGCCCAGCCTGCACCCTCTCCAATCTGGGGCCCCTTGGGGGATGTCAATACCACAGGGATCAGGCCTAAACCGGAAGTTGGACATCCTCCTCATAATCTGGGACTGCTGGCTCCCTACCACTCGCCTGCCGGCCTGCCTGATTGCCCCTAACCACTTTGGCCTGCCAACCTAATCACCCCTCAACTACTGCCAATTTAGGGCCGATCCCTATGTGACATCCCCCAGGGGGTTCCAGATTGGAGAGGGTGCAGGCTGAGCTGAGGGACACTACTCCAGTGCATGAATTTTGTGCACTGAGCCTCTAGTCCTGTATAATAAAAGCCTAATATGCAAATCGACCAAAAAGTGGAGGGACCAGTCACTATGATGTACACTGACCACCAGGGGGAAGACACTCAATACAGGAGCTGCCCTCAGCCTGCAGACAAGGCGGGTGCCAGTGGGGGTCCCCTGATCGGCCCTGATCATCAGCCAGGCCTAGGGACCCTACCCATGCACAAATTTCGTGCACCAGGCCTTTAGGTTTTGATAACACAATCACAAGTAACTAATTTAGTCAAGCCAAGCAAATGAAATTAGGAGTGGGCAAAAATCCCTTCAAATTATACCTCTGTCATTTTAAGAAAATTTAGCAGCCATATTCTTCAGTTTTTCATATATGTAATCAATTATTCTCATAATTGGTAAAACTAATTAAAATGTGATGAGGTGGATCAGATTAGATGTGTGTTAAGAAAAACCATTTATTTTCAGAAGTCCAACATATTGAAGGCACTGACATTGTGGCTGAAAAGTCTGTGTGACAATCTGGGCACTTGTTGAATTTTATCTATCACACTTTCAATACATAAATCTCTATCATTTGTTGCTGTCACTTTTTCTTTCTTTCTTTTTTTAAAATATATATTTTATTGATTTTTTTACAGAGAGAAAGAGAGAGGGAAAGAGAGTTAGAAACATTGATGAGAGAGAGACACCGACCAGCTGCCTCCTGCACACCCCCTACTGGGGATGTGCCTGCAACCAAGGTACAAGCCCTTGACCGGAATCGAACCCCTGGGTCTTTTCAGTCCGCAGGCCGACGCTCTATCCACTGAGCCAAACCGGTGTTGGCTGTTGCTGTCACTTTTGTATAAAATTTTACCATAGATCAGGCAAGGGCAAGAAAAAAAGAAAGCTTATTTTTATTTTTATCTCTTCAGCGGTTGATACAGAAAATGCTTCCGAAAGGAAGCTGAAGGTCTTTCAAGGGTCCAAAGGTATCTTTCCCTTCACTTGCAGTAGTCTTTCAACATAGACCATAAAGCTCAATAAAAAGCTTAATGACAAGGTTAAACGCATATGAAGAAAAATGAAAGTAAGCACAGAAAACAAAATCTTAAAAGCGTACTTGGTAAAATAAACTTTGGAAACCACTTCTTAACAAGCAAATCGAAAGACTCAAAAATGACCAAAGCTGCTTTTCACTTGAGGTTTGGCTGAGTTATTTTATTATATATATACTTTCAGTTTTGTTTTTTTTTTAATCTGGCTAAAATACACATGCTCAGTGGTGACTGAACTTTGCCCAACTAGCTTGGCACATAATGGGCTATACAGTTCACGGAGTTCCAAAACCACCAAAGGAGAACCAAGAGCTCAGTGTCAGAGAAACATCTCTACCGAGAACGTTTGATTCTGGCAAGGACTATTTTGTTTATTTTTTTAAAAATACTGTCCTAGAGCATTATGATATTATTAGCATATTTTTGCTTTCTCCAACACTCAACACAACAGTCAAAGATCCTATGCATCAAATGGATGCATTATATAGGCACACTGCTGTTATTTTATGACCTTTGTTTGCGGTATTGCATTTTAGAGTGTCTTTGAGAAGCATATGTACAAATAACCTGTGTGTTACCAGAGGCCTCCCCATACTCACAACATGCAATGAGTCTTGCTTTAGGCCCTGCGCCTGAGCCAATGAAAGTTTCCCAGAAATTCCATATTTAACTCCCTGTGCTTTTCTCTGTTTGACCTCGTTTCAAAGCAGCATGCATGCTTCTGTCCCATGGGAGAAGGGCTTTGATGGTCTACCCGTCTGCTGGTGTCCACAGATATTTTGAACACACTTACGGTTTTGTGATGCTTAGCTCATTTGCAGATGGCTCATGAGTCTAGCCCTCCCTTTCTCTTAATGTTGTGCCTTCAACTCCAACCAACTGCCTTGCCATGGCACCTTGCCCCATCTTTTATTTATTTTTACTTTTTAAATATATTTTATTGATTTTTTTACAGAGAGGAAGGGAGAAGGATAGAGAGTTAGAAACATCGATGAGAAAGAATCATCGACCAGCTGCCTCCTGCACACCCCCCACCGGGGATGTGCCCGCAACCAATGTTCATGCCCTTGACCGGAATTGAACCCAGGACCCGGGACCCTTCAGTCCAGAGGCTGACGCTCTATCCACTGAGCCAAACCAGTTTTGGCTTGCCTCATCTTTTAAACAACATGTTAGCACCAGGTTAGTTTTTCAAATTCCATTTCATCCTAATCTCTGTGATCAACATTGCTTACATTCATCTGTTAGATGTCTTAGTCTCAAACAGAAGAATTTGGGAGATAGATATCTGTATAATTGCTTTATTACAGATACACTCTCTACCTTCTCTCTGGCCTGTATAGTCTTAACTCATATCCTCTCTTCAAGTTAAACTCAGATTTTACACCTCCATTTTAATTTTCTCCATATATCTTTAACCTTTAACAGTATCATTTGTTATACTGTTATTATTCTCTTCATCTCCTTAATGTGGTTATAAATTATTGGAAAACAAGAAACCAATCAGTTACTGATGTTTTTCTCAATACAGGAGATAGTGACTTAAATGTAGTAGGTTGTCAATCCGAATTTTTAAATAAGAAACTGTCTTGAAAGGCTAAGAGGAGAGTCATATTGATATGCATCACTGTATGTTTTGTGTTCATTTTCATCCAGTGTTTATATAGATACTGCACTGAGGTTGCATGAATAATTCAGGGAACCACATTAAAGACATTTCTTTTCTTTTTTTAATATATTTTATTGATTTTTTACAGAGAGGAAGAGAGAGGGATAGAGAGTTAGAAACATCGATGAGAGAGAATCCTCGATCAGCTGCCTCTTGCACACCCCCGCTGGGGATGTGCCCGCAACCAAGGTACATGCCCTTAACTGGAATCGAACCCAGGACCCTTCAGTCCACAGGCCGACACTCTATCCACTGAGCCAAACCGGTTTCAGCCACATTAAAGACATTTCTAAAACTTACCAATTCCTGTGGGGGAGAAAGACCACCCATCCAAAAATGAAACTGTCTTTCAGCCATTAACTTAAATTATTCCCTGAAGCCAATGTGAAACATATATTTCAAAAATGTAAATAAAATCTTATAGGGATTTCAATGTATCATAACTGAAAATAACTGAGGACATTTATCTATTTTGAATGCTATTGCTATCATTTGGTTGAGTTTTAACCTTTGTCACACATAATTGCTGAGAAAACTAACAGTACTTCCCAAAGATAGCCCATGTTTGACATTGTTATGAAATAAAAATATAGTTTGTAGTATGACAAGATAATTCTTCTCTTGAGAGACAATACAAACACTTCAGACTAGTTACTAAATATTGCCTATTACAACTCTAATTATGGCAGTTTTATATTTGCATATTTAAATGTGGTAGCCTCTATTAATAAAGAATATATCAAAACACAGTGAATCAACTTGCAGTGTACAATTTAAAGATACACTCTTTGTGCTCCCTAGTAAAGTAGAATACAAATTGTTCTTCATTGTTGTAAAGTTATTTCACATTGTCATTTAAGTTGAATGCTTATTAGAATTTAACCATCCATAACTTTTCCCCACAATAATCATGGGAATTTTTTGAAAATGTAGAAGTCATGTTTTTAGCAACAGATTTTTTTTTCCTTTAAAACAAAATTCATATATTTTCTTAAAGAGCATGTTTCCAACATAGAGGGATTTTGTTCCTCTCTGTACCACTTACTGGGTTTTTGAAAGCTGATAACTATAAATGCTTTATTTTATCCTCTTTATAGATGCTAAATGCAGTGGTGTTTTTAAAAATCTATTATTTTGGACCAGTGTGGCTCAGTGGTTGAGTGTCAAGCTATGAACCAGGAGGTCATGATTTAGTCCCCAATATGGGGCTTGCAGGAGGCAGCCGTTCAATGGTTCTCTCTCATCATTGATGTTTCTATCTCTCTCTCTCACTTCCTTCCTCTCTGAAATCAATAAAATATATTTTAAAAAAAATTTTTTAATTTTACTAATTGTTGTTGGTTGGTCCCAAATTCTCCCAATTCACAGGCCTCAGTTTACTTTTTATGCTCATGTCTTTAAAGGGCTAACTGCATTCACTTTTATCCTATCTCTTACTTCCTTCACACTGCATCTCCAGTTTCTCCATATGTTCATTGATTGGGTAGCTAGGGGAGAAAGATGATGATATGTAGATGCTGTAGACAAGTGATAAGTATATTCAAGCTCCAGTCATTCTGCCTGGTGACCAAGCCACTAAATGTCTTTGGGCAGCAGCTACATTATAAAAGGGCAAGATTAAATGATGCCAACTTTTTCTTTCAGCATTAAAATTCTGATTCTAAATATAGAAAAGTGATCCATAGTCTTTCTGGCCACCAGGATACCCATTAGCATTTTATTATAATTAGACTGTTTGAAATAAGACTGCAATATAAAACATGTCTCAATCACTAACCCTTCCAACCCAATCATTATAACCTGATGTCCTTCTTATTGATTTACCTCAACACACACACACACACACACACACACACACACACACACTCCTTAAATATACATTCTCTTTGAAAGTGCCATTTATTTTAGTTAAAACTTTTCCTAAACTAGTCTTTAGTAATGGTGCTTAATCGCTATGTGGCTTACAGTAACAAACCAAGGAGTCTGTGTGTGGTGAGCATGCGGTCATGAACAAGAGGAAATCTGAACTTAAAGGGCTGAAAGCACTGGAAAATGGAAGCCAATCGACTGTTTTTCCAGCTGTTTCACTGGTTTAAAAAAATCTAATAAAACAGACAGTATTTCTTTATAGCCTCATTAGTTTCCCTGATGGTAAACTGACAATGCTGGGCAGTGTTCCTGCACCCAATGGTCAGATACAGCAGTCTTTTCATTTTTGAAACATATTTCTTAATCATGCTTAACAAAGTGGCAAACGGGCATAAAGGGGTTAAAGTAAAAATCTGTAGAAATTCTAATTCCTAACATATACATCAAGCTAGACATGAGCATAGATTGATTAAAAATCATAGGTATTACTAAGTTTAAACATAAAAGGGCCTCAGTCATATAGGCAATCACCTAATTATATATATAGGTAGAAACAATACTGGACTTTAAAACCACACAGAGGAGGTCTCAAAGAGTATCTTATTAAACATCCAAACAGCTGTCTCATTTCTCTAAAATATCTTTGCGATCCAGAAAAATGAAGGTAATGATTCAATTTAGGGCCGTCTAACCTACAGAAATTATGTCAATTGTTCTCATTTTAAAGGTTTTCTTCTACAATCCACCCTTAATAGTGACTGATCTTTTGGCATATTGTTTTAGAATATGAATGAAGCTTGCAGACAGTAAATTAATGTTTTTTCATATCTTCTTAATTGATAAGAAATAAAAAGAGAATACAGAGAGTACAGTTATATGACTCTGAGATTTGTTTTTAGTTTAATTTTTGTAGGTTATAGTCAGTATTCCCACAGTATTTTTAGCATAATCACAACATTATTCACATTACAGTATGTTTAAATTGCTTTCACCTTAGACTTGCTTAAATAGTAGCTCATTGTATTTTAAAAAGTTCTGCATATATAAACATTGGTTTCATTTTCTAAAATTCATAATAATGCAATGGTGGGAAACTCCAAAATGCTTCAACCCTTAATAAAATCAGAATCCTAAAGTGACTACTTTATGGTACCCAGTGGTGTCATCGTTTGCATCAAGTCAAGGTCATTGTAAAAACTAGAGTTAGCTTTCCTTTAGTCACGGACCTATGGGAGTTCTTCCTCATCTCACTGTCCTCAGACATTGTTATTTAACTAGGCTTTGGTCATATACCTACCGTCAAGAACAGATGGATCTCAGGTTACCTTTTATAAAGAGTCTATATCTTTAAAAAGAAAGACGGTATAGAAAGGGAAACAAAAAAGTTCATCTTAGTAGCCACCTGGTCCAGTCTAATAGTGAGCTAGAACCTCAGTTAGACTACCTTCAACGCTCTAATAGTTGGATAGGATCTCTTATGACCCTCCATCAACCCTAGTGGTTGTTCTTCAGAAGTGGCTGTCCCAAGGCTGTCTGTGGGGCCCTTGTGGAGTCTTGACATGCTGTGACCCTCTAGCTTACATTTCAGTTTCTCTTCCTTCTGTGCCAACCTTTTAGATCCTGTTTCTTCTTGAACCAAGCTCCCAATAAAGAAAACCTGATGAGAATGGGCAGCAGGGGGGCAGGGCTTGAGGAGCACACCCATAAAGGGAGACAAGGGGACAGGGAGGAGGGGGGAATGAGACAGGCTCAGAGGTGCACAGACCCCTCGGGGCAATGTGGTGCCCTGGAACTGTCCAGCAGCTCACAAGGCCAGGCTAATCCACATTCTAAAAGGGAGTCATTGTATTCACTTCTCACTCTAATCTCCCTTTTGGCAATTACTAAAAAAAATACTTAAAAGAACTAGAGTCAGACATAATTATTCATTTTTGTGTCCTGGATTGTGGGGTCAGTATATGGGGTGGTGGGACAGTGAATAGAAATATTAAATGTAGTGATTCCCATTAAAATGTAAAAAACAAAACAGCCATTAAAAAGTCAACATTCTTTTCTTTTGTTCCTTATGAGAGAGCATATTACTCCAGAGACAGATAATGCCTTCTTTTTGAAGGGGCTACTGATGGGGGAAACTATAGCAAATGTTTAGGAGTAAAAAAGCTACTTATGTTAGCTATAAACAACAGTCTTCAGACTTGCCTACATGCCCAGATCAATGCAGGCCTCCCTTCCAAAACAGCAGAGAAGAAGTCTGAAGAATAAGTAAAAATGAGAGGAAAATGACAGGGCACACAGGTAATAAAGAATGCTCAAAGGCGGCCCAGCTGGCGTTGCTCCGTGGTTGACCTATAACCCAGGAGGTCATGGTTTGATTCCCAGTCAGGGCACATGCCCAGGTTACAGGTTCAATTCTCAGTGTGGTGTGTGCAGGGGGCAGCCAATCAATTATTCTCTCTCATCACTGATGTTTCTGTTTCTCTCTCCCTCCTTCTTCCTCTCTTTGAAATCAACAGAAAATACACACACACACACACACACACACACACACACACAAAATAAATCTGATGATTAGACTGATTAGTGGCTTGATAAATTCTATCCCAAAAGTTGTCAACAGTGTAAATTATTTTATAGGTGATTTGTGCTTTTATGCAAACCTCAACATATGCACATGTACTTTCATATTTATAAAAAAATGGGCTATTGAAGAAAGCAAATGTTTTGTTCAATTTGGGCATGATGAACACGATCTATCTATCTATCTATCTATCTATCTATCTATCTATCTATCTATCTCTATATGTGTGTGTGTGTGTGTGTGTGTGTATGTATATATATATACATATATATATATATATATAGAGAGAGAGAGAGAGAGAGAGAGAGAGAGAGAGAGAGATCATGCTGTGTATACAAACCTTATTTTATGATTTTTACTTCTTCTTTTCTAAGTATATTTTCCTTGAAAGAGAGAGATCTATATTTCTTTTTTATGCCTCAATATCAGTAAGGAGACAGCATTCTTATAATTGCTTTACCTAGAATTTCTTTTTATTTGTCATTATTAACGCCTCTAGACCAAGAGCAGAAACTTCCATGTTGGTGAGATTCAGAAAGGTAACACAGGAAACCCGGATAGAATGGAACAGCCCTGCATAGCCCCCATATATCCTTCCTAAACCTATGACTTTTCAAGAAAATGAGAAACATGTATCATCAACTGAAATATATTGCCACTTAAATGTTATAGGCAATTAGTTTTTACATATTATGGAAGCTGAGCATATCTTTTTCTACACTTGTGACCCACGAGTTTCCCCACGTCTAGAATAAAGTCTCTAAACAATACATTTATCAACGGCATGGAATATATCCTTTTAACTCTCTCACTTTATACACAACTATAATAGTAATGCCTAACATCTAGTATATTGTTAATGGGTGTCATGTCTTGTTAATTGTTTTACATGTCACCTTATTTTACATTCACAATAATATTATCAGATAGGAACTGATTTAACCTTATCTTATAGCCTAGTAAATAAAATTTAGAAAGTAAATGTCCATGAGTTACAAAGCTCCTAGGTGGTAAAACAAGATCTGAATCCCAGGCAGTCTGCTCCTGGACCTGACCTAGGCTGATGCACTTGCTTTAGAGACAAAATTAATTATTTCTATTTTGGTTTAAATCAGGGGAATAGTTAGGAGAGCCTACTCACTATTGTCCTGCAAATTGTTCATTAAATTTAATTAAACAAATGAATTTCTAAAATATAGTTCTTTCGAGACTAGTTCATTGCACTGTTCTATAAATGCTCCATCACCCTTTTCCTCCTTACTCCTGAGACAACACAGCAACAAGAAGGAAGCACGGCAAATTTATAATTTGTGCTTTTCTGTGTGTTCCCTAGAATAGATGTTGGATGTGTTGCCTGATTGGCTCAACGATATCTTGGGAAATATTGCGCTACAACACCTCATTTGTACATTGCACTAAATAGTTTGGCATGAGGGAAATGAATGTGTTGCCAGCTAAAAAGAGTGGTACAAGAAATTACCACACTTCATTTTGGTGGATAAACTCCAAAAATGAATTAGGAACCTGACTATTATAAAAAGGTCAAGCTTTTTTCCTAATTGTCAAGATAGAATTCAATGGTGATTTGGGTTTTAACAATACTCTAATCAGGCGTCTTCAAACTACGGCCCGCGGGCCATATGCGGCCCGCAGAGGAGTCTGATCCGGCCCGCCAGGTTTTTTGGGCAGTGAGCGCAGCCGAGGTGTT